CGCGCGAAGCCCAAGTTGACTGCGACGCACTCGGAGAGCCACTTGACCGTCTTCGCAAACGGCCACCACAAGCCTTGCCATCGCAACAACAACTCGGCCCACGTCTCTGGCCTTCCGTACAAGATTCCTCGTCCGCATACGCTACACGGCCATGCCGCCTTCTCCGCTCTCTCGCAAGAGAAGAGCACTCGCAGCCAGCCAGAACCGCCTGCTACACGCTCCATGGACACGCTATCGTTATCGAACAACGACTTCCACACCATGTTCGGCTCTACACAGCGCTGTGCCGACAAGTCGCCGACTCCCAACGTCGGCGGTAGCCTCGACACATTCGGTTTCAACGAGATGTTCAGCAGTCAGCCCGGCGTCTTTCAACAAGACGGCGAGTCTCCCAACAGCAACGTCAGCGACACGTTCTCGAATCAGTGGCCATGGATAGCCAACAGTGTAACACCCGTGAACAGTACGTTCGGTCTGGGCAGCCTGTCCACTTCGCCATCGCAAGATTGCCTCCCAAACATGGATAGCGACTGGTTGACAGCATCTGCTGGTTTTGACCACGTCTGGTCTGCTACTGATCTCCCGCTGGACCCTAGCAAGTTCAACGACGACTTGGCGCAGCCGATCTCACACAGCGGAGAGTCCAAACTCAGCGGTCCCGGCCTTACTGTAGCGTCGTCTGCGCACTCGGAAATTGGAGAGCCAGCCCTCTTCGGTGACTTGGACTTCAAAGCCCCTCAGTCGGCTGCCAGCGAGTCGCTCTTCTGGGAAGATACCCCTGCGTATCGCTTTAGCACTGCCGTACCGAGTGAATCCGTCAACGCGCCCATGCCAATGGCCACTACGGCACCCATGCCGAACATGCTTGGCTTCGATCCTATCTACGCCAAGAGCATGACTGCTGCGCCAGCAACTATGACGAGTACCGCCTCGCCTGACTTTGCCGACACAGCCGCCCTCTCGATGCCTAGCAATTTCGAAGATGTTGTTCCCATGGACCCATGGCCTATAGATCAGACCAATGGTGCTTTCAACGCGATGAACAACTTTGATCTATCTTATACCAACAGTGGTTGGTTTTAGACGCCTGCGAAGGGACAGCCAGCTCTCGCAGCTACTGTCGCTTTTGATGACGCCATGATTGATGACGCTGCTGGTGCGCGATGATACCAACGCCTAGGCGATCTCTATTCATATCTTCTTTTAGTCTTCATGACTACCCTTTTGACTATCGGTCGCCTGTGTATATTTTATGACCTGGCCCGAACCATTCGCTTGATGTGCGTTTGAGGCCGTTCTACATAGATCGCCGCCATCACTGTTTGTTGCATTTGAGTGTTGAACAAGCAAGCATACGTATATACAATGGGATGGATTTGGGTGGTGATTTCAATGCTTGGGCGGTTTGCCCGTGGGGGTTTCGCAAAAGTATAGACGGAGCCTTTGGCGTTCTGACGTCTGGCCCACAATGAAATAAGAAAGTAAAAACAATCCTACGTCTCCATCTGCTTCTCATCGTGAACACGCATTGTCAGTTGAGGCATCTCAACGGACCCCTCAAGCCTCGTCGAGTGACGTCCTTGAGTCGCATCAGGGCGTGCCGCACGGCCGCAAGGTTCGTGTTATCCTCCTCCACCAATTAGCGTCTCTGCCAATCCAATTTTTTCAGGGTTCCCGCCTCGCCCACACGACGTATTCCTCAAGCGGCCAGATGAGACGCCCTGCATGCGAAGCGTGGAGCGCAGAGATTTTCGCTGACCTTCCAAGTTTCCTCTGATCGGTCGACAGGGATAGGCTATCTCCCAGCAAAACCGTGATTAACCTTTGAGACGTGCATGCTCTATCAAGATCCGACGTTGGGGTCGTCCTGCACCAAAGGACGATGAGGTGCGTGGATGATCGGCGACAGATGTAACACCACTACGTCGTCTCACGGGATGCGCGACGAGAGCGCTACGCCAGGCGCTCGCGGCGGCTGCGATTGAATCGACGTGATCACTCGCAGTGCGACGCACTGCACAAGAGCATGTGCCGGGGCGGCCTCGGTGGCATCCATGGCTATCAAGGCTAAACTCGATCGCAGTCGCAACCACATTGTCGTAGCTCCTGACGGCTCAGTGACCATCCGCACAGCGCGGCAAAGTCAGTCAATTAGCTAGGCGCACCGTCAGGAAAGCTAAATCAGCAGCATGACCACGAGCATGTCATCCCACTTACGAGCCTGCTGCTTGCGGATGCGTTCACAATCCGGCGCCCGCTGCACAGCACAAACAAAGAACCGCTGTTTGTGTGTGTTGTGCATGCCAATGCCCAGTGCACAGCCTCCCTTTTACGCTTCTTTACGAACCGCCAGAGTGGGAGGTGTGCAGTCGGCGTTCTGGCGAACCAGATGCGGGTAAGCTGGGTGTGCTCACGCGTTTTTGTAATGGGGGCGGGTGCATACTTCCTCACGATAGTGCTAGTCTGCCGTTTTTACCATCCCAACAGATACTAAAGAATGGAAGGTATTGTAGCAATTGTCCATGAGGATGGAGAGGTAGCTCAGCTTATCAACAATGTTTGCTCGAACCGAGCTTTCGTGATAATCACTCATCGCGAACTTGCAGCCGCAACAGCAGTATCCTCTCTTCCGCCTTCGTGACGAAGCCTTCCAATAGCGAAAATCACGCACGCATGCAATGCATCTATAGACTTTCGCATATGTAGCCGTGGACAATCCCGCCTAGCGAACTGAACTTCCTTCTCGAGAGTCGCGGCATAGCGATATGTGAAGGTTGTATGGCACGTCTAGACGCCATGCGTCGCATCGCTTGCATCATGATACTGATTTCCCGCGGGTTTTCGGGCGTTCGCAGACTGCGTGGACTTTGCGGGGTCTGGTGGAAGAACAGCAGCTCATTGGCGCTAAGCAACCCCGTCCAGAATGTCAGAAGACGAGCGCGCTCTGTTGGAACACCATCTTGAAGGTTCTGGTGGTTCTCAGATCAATCCAGACGTACGTCAGTCGACCTCAGGGACCCTTCCTTCAGACAAGGCAAGATCGTCGATCCCTGAATCCCCTACCTTCGGCATCGGCCGTCGGTACTGTCTGCTGTCGCACCTGTCGCACACGCTCGCTATCGGACCTTTCGGCAGGACCCTGAAAAACTGCCCTTGTCCTTGACCCTGGGGACTCTCTGACACCCGTTCAAAATGATGTCAACGTCTCGTGTTTGTCCTTCGCGTTCTTCGAACCGAGGCAGAGGCAAGCGAAGAGACAACGAAGTTCCACCGTTCCACCGACTTTTTCCCCTTTGGGTAATACAGCCAGTTGGATATCGCGATCGCCAACGCCGACAATGATTCAGTTTTTTTGCGAGTTGGAGTTCGCGCGTGTCTGTATTGTGGGGGTTGTGGGGGTGCGGAATCATCTGCTTTTACAGTATCTATTGCGCTGTGGATCGAGGGGAGTTTAGTGGTGAGAAGAAGAATGAGGCGGAACATGCCCGGGCAGCTGTCATTGCTGCGTTTCGCGTACAGTACCCAGGTAAGGGTAGTTCGCGATGGAAGGTCAGGTAACACGAGACACGACGTCATCGCCCACGAGGTCGGTTGCTAATAACCGTCTCATTTCCGAGCGTAGACATGGGGATCAGCTGTCGGTAAGCAAGTCCCCGGATATGCTGTGAACACTAGTTCAACGTTATGCTCCGGTGCTGAGGTGTTCCGATGCTGAGGTGCAAGGTTCGGATGTAAGTCATCAATCACATGCACGGCGGAGAATTTCCGCTTCACCCTGCATGCAGCTGTCGAGTCGATCGTTGGAATGTGACGGTCAAGCTTTCTTTTGGTTGCACGTTGCACGGCGGGATTGGTGGCGCGTTTACCGCGTGTAGGTGTCGCATGGATGGGACTGGCGGTGTCGATGCTGGAAAAGTAAGCTGCATGGCGCAAACAAAGGGGTGTACGCTTGGTCTTGGTCGAGTATCGATGCATTGAAAGCGGTTTTACTGGCGGTGTGGTGTACTCAGTCTGCGCGTGTGTGTAGAAAAAGAAAAGGAGAATGATTTAGATGATGAGTGTCGTGAAGATGATCGATCAGAAGAAGTGAAGATGCGCCTCTGAGGACAGCGATACGTATTCCCGTGAGGCAACGGCGGACATCGAATGAAGGTTGTGGAAGCAATTGACAATGGAAGGTGTTTCCGAATGACCTTCGAGAATTCAACTGTCGGATATCAATACTATATTAGTGGGGGAAAAGTCAATATTATACACAACACACACTGAACCACTTCATCCCTCCTCACACCTCATATAAGGAAGACACTGAACAGGCCTGCAGCCTGCATACACTAGAATAGCAAACAAGCAAACAAGAAGACGTAGCGTCATAGTAGACCCATAGGTGCTTAGTTTTCCCCTTAAACAAAGTGCTCGGCTCGCCTTCTCTTCACCCTAACCATCCCCCTCCACCTCCACTTCTTCATACCCACTCCCCCAATCAATCGGCTGATACCCACTGAATAAGCTATCTCCCAACTGGTACCCCGGTTTACTAAAGTATGTCGACATGCGCCCCATGAAAACGGGTGGTGTATCGTAGTCTTCGTCTGCGTAGTACGATGGCTCTTGAGGTATGGCAGTGTAGTTCGCTGGCGATGGCCAATAGGATGAATATGAGTTTTCCATGGGAAGAGGAGTAGGAGGAGGCGATGTTTGGGTTGCGGTGGTCGTGTAGGTGGGTTTTTGCGGGGGTGGTGAGGGGTTTGGTGTGGCGTGGCAGTTGCATGTACATGATGGAGTTTCTGAAGTGGATCTTGGTTGAGATAGAGGACTCTGTTGTAGTGTCGTGGGTTCCTGGTTCAGGGCGGGCTGTGATGATAGTGGCGATGGTGTGCTCTTGACTGGTGCTGGAGATATCGTCTTCGTCGACATCGGCTCGCGGTCTGGCTCTATCACTGGCTCGGTGTCTGTCCTCTGATCTGACTTTTGCGGCGACTCCATCTTCTCCGAATCGCCTACACCTGAGCCAAGAGCTGTCCACTGCGATGTATACGAAGGTCGTCCCAGTTGCCTCATTTGCCCCTCAACAATCGTCTCCCCCAACAGCGAAATGTCCGAGTTGGTTCTCGAATTCGTATAACTCAAGCTCGGCGGCCGACTCGCTCGTTGCGAGCTGATTGAACTCGATCTTTTACTCCTATTTGTATCGCTCACTCCGCCATCCGATCGCATGCTCGTTTCAGATAATGGTCGCAAGAACGAGACCGTTCGCGATCTCCTCAGTGCCTGTCGATCAAGCTTCTCTTCATCTTCCGTAGGCGCTGGCCTCTTCACTTCCGGTTCTTTGTACTCTAGCTTGCCATTCTTGTCGGATGCGAAGTACTCTTCGCCTCGTCCGAAGACGACTTGAAGGGATGCGAAATCTCGTGTGGTGCCATCAGTGGGGTAGAGCCAATCTTTGAGTGCGGGAGGGAGGTCGTAGCCATCTTTGAAGTGTCAGCATGGAACTTCCCCATCCATCGGACAATGTATGCGCACCTTGTCTAAATTCCCCTCCTTTTGTCTTCCAGCAAACGTAATATCGCTCAAATGCACCGAATGCGCAGACTATCAGATCGTCCAGACTTTCAGGGTCGTTCGGGTCTTCTGGTATCTCTCCCAAGCGTTTGTATAGCCTTGTCGATGCATCCATGGTGGGTACTCAGTTAAGTGGAAAGAAGCCGTGTAGGAGTTGCGGATCAGTCCCGTACGGAAACGGCCACGGAGTGCGTTAGTCGACAAGATTAAGTAAGTGGACCAAATGCCACAGGAAAGTAAAAGATAACATGAAATGTAGGGCTTAGCCAAGTTCCAGTCGTTAGCAGTCAGTGTTAGGCATGCCTAGGTAGTTACCCCAGCTTTCAACGAGCGATCACTTCACCGCACCACCTAGCATTACCATATTCTCCATCAAACAGTTCTCGCTACATGACGCCTTGTTATCGCGTGATCACTAGCGCTTGCGACATATTGTCAAAACGTGTCGGAAACCTGACGCACTTGCGATGGGTGAGTCGGTCGATGGTGGGTCGAGTTTCACAATTGCCGGTCCGCATGGACATGCAACGGGTGGATTAGCCGGCAGATCCGTCGTATGCGGTAAAGTTTAACATCAGATCGAATGTGGTGTTCGTTCAGCTCCGGATTTTGGATGTTGTGGGAATCAGTGTTGTGGAAGAGAGAAGGTGGTTTACCGACACTGAGCGAATTATGGGAGGTGGCATTGACGCCTAATCGATTTCGGGCATCAACACAGAACGTGATTACTCAACCGTGCACTACTTACCCTCGAAATAGATAATATGATGTTTGATGGAATCATCGTATTGATTTTGATCTTTCATCTTCGTGATGGTGTTCCAACGCTATATTACTTCGTCTTCCCACTCTCGTCCTCCAAGCCAACCAAGTCATCAATTTCCCTAAACAACGCCGACGTAGTCTTCCTTCCACCCGTTGTCGCCGCCCTGTCCCTACCCCTCCCACTCACAGAACTACCACCAGCTTGCCTACCCACTCCACTCGCACTCCCTCTCCCCTGACCCCCTCCAATCCTATTACTCATCCCCTGGTTCCCCTTCCCACTGGTCATAGTCCTCGCAAGAGACTGGCGACCCGATGCCGTAGTGGATGATCTAGGTGACGAACGAGACCCGGTGGCTCTGGAGGAGGATATCGATGAGAGTTCAGAGACAGAACGATCTCTCTGCCGGCGGTCGGGAGCGGATCTCTGCGTCGACTGCTGTGAAGTGGATCGTCGTGATGAGGGACTCGAGCTTGGGCTAGGAGTAGACCTGGGCGGATTTGGTCGACGGGGTAGAGATATTACCGGTCTGACATTTGATGTAGATTGAGCTGCGGATATGGCTGGGTCTTCTCGGGTGGAGGGTGCGCGTTGGCGGGGAGGTGTTATCGGTCGTTGGATTGACGGATCGGATACAGACATTGTTGCTGCTGATGGCTGCGACCGCGTCGCCAGTGCTTTTGCTTGTTTCGCTTTGGAGACGGCGAGTGCTAGAGGGGCCGGTGTTGGTGAAGCTTGGGGCTGTGTACTGACTCCAGGCACGCTCAGTGACGCATCTTCATTGGAGTATACAGAAGACGTGTTACTGTTGGCACTCGATCCGCGTTCACTTGATCGGCGTCTAGCCTCAGGACTAGTCTTTTGCGCTGCTGCCATGGCTTCGAACTTCTGCGCCTGGGTTAGAGCTCGAGAGCCGCTGCTTCTGTTCAGCTTGGGTGTGGTTCGTCTCTCGCTGGAAGACGAGGATTGCTCTTCATGTGACGACGTGGAGTCTACCTTCTCAGGGGTGGTGCCTTGGATCTCATCAACCCGTATCGGTGGTGATTGAGCTTGTGCGACGTTTGCCTCGTTTGATGGACTTTTTGTCTCTTCACCGAACGTTGACTGAGCTTCAGCTGGCCAGGGTTCTGTTACAACAGGAGGCGTTGGGTTAGTACTTTGACCCATGCTGGATACCTCACCAGGCGGTTCCTCTTGTCCCATCGCTGTCCCCGAGGTCTTCTCTTCACCCCTTCCAACAGACTCATACGCCGGCGGCGGTGTCCTTGACCTAAAAGCTAAACTCTCCACTATCGGCGGCGGATCTTCAAAGATAGACTTAGGTATCTTCATCGGCCTCCAACCCTCTTCCTTCCCCTCTCCCACTGCAGCACCAGCCCCCGGTCTGACCTCCACCTTCTCTCCACCCAACGGCTTCTCAACCGGCGCATCCTCCTCCCTCTCAACAGCCCTCTTAGTAGTCTGATCCGCCATCTTCTCGTCCGCCTCTTTCTTCCACCTCTTCTCCTTGCGACTAAGTTCAATCTCCAGTACCCTCGTACCAGGCGCGACTCTGGTTCTGAGGCCGTCGTCATCGAGATCAAAGTACAAGCCCCATAGCCCGGGTGCTTGTTCAACTGCGCACCACCCCTCCCATCCATCGAAGGTAAGACGCCGATCTTGACGCGTGCAATCGAATGGACCAGTGAGATGCGGTTGTGCATCAGCTCTCACTCCGTATTTCGCTTCTCCCGTCTCTTCGTCAACATACACCCAGTTCATAATCGGCGCCACATCCGTAATCGTCGTGACAAGCCCTTCGTAACTCGTATCCGGGTACGGTAAGTAATACCCTGCATAAGGATGACCCAGTGGACTTCCATCTTCTGTCCCGGTATCGATCCAGAGCTTCCCGTTTCTCAGTACGACTTGCCGGCCGTCAATTTCGCGGCTGCGATGTGAGGACTTGACGCATGTGGCGATGAGGTTGCAGCGACGGGCGCGGTGTTCTTCGCGCTTCTCTTTGGATTGCGATTGCCGGATCGCTTCTTGCGAGCCGAGGAGACCGGGGGCTACGATTGTGGCGATGAGGATTGAGAGGACCATTTTGCGTGTGCTGCATCGTGGGGATGCGTTTGCGGGTGGAGGTTGGCATGGACATGCACCATGTTCAGCATCGCCTGCGGATGGGATTCGGTTGGGTCTATGCGCATTACCGTGGTTCCATAGAATCGGGATCGCTTGATAACTCCGGTGGTCTGATGGTCGCTCGACTGAGAACAAGAGTGTCCGAGCTGAGACGGTCGCCCTGAGCTTCACCAGCCCCTGTGTGTTTCATCGTCACAGCCGCCCCGCCGGCAAGCATAGCACATCCCCACAACATTCAAGCGACTGCGGTTGATCGTCTTGTCTGGACCCTTGATTCCCTTTCGGTAGTGAGGCTGGTACGAGACTCGGACGATGGCAGCGACTTTGAGACGCAGGAGTGCCACAACAGCCGTTTCGAGCGTTCAGCGCGACATCGACTCATGGCAAAGGTGGATGGTATATGCTGTTGTCGTATCTGATGGCGACTTTGCTTATAAGGCAGAGATATGGCACTTCATCAAGGCCAGTACAGTTGACCTGCATCTCATCCTCATCATCCACCATCGCCAATACCCAGCAACGGCCCGGCGCCTGACCAGCTTGAACCACTTGCCTAATACCTAATATCGACTTCTTGTTATATCCAACCGTCCATCAGAATGTCTACCCTGTAAGCAACACTGGTACGAAGGGTTTTACATGTGCTAACCTCAATCAGCGACTCCACCATCCGCCCAACAGCCTACGGCTCCGACACTGAGAGCGACGGACAAGCCTCCGGTGGCCGTAAGGTGTCTTCCACTTCCAAGGTTGGCCCTGTCCCATCCTCAGCCACACTCAACCGACCGGCCGGCAACATCATCAAGGGACCAGTGGACGACAACGGCAAGCCCAAGGATGCGGCGTTGCTCCTGGGTATCAAGCTAGATTTGGAGGCAGAGATTCACTTGACGGCAAGGATTCGTGGAGATATTACGATTGGATTGTACTGAGCTACTGGCATGGTGGACTACGGACAATTCTCGACGCGTCGCACGAAGATTCCAGGACATTGATTGGAAGACGCTTGGAGCGGCATCGCGAGAGCATAGGAGGGCGTTTTCAGTCACGGGATTCATGGAAAAGGGTTGAGATCTGAACATATTGTTAGCGTTTGATGCATCAAAAGTAATCAATATGTGCAAGTTGAGGGTGTTGATCAGACTCATGCCCTGTCACAGGCAGTTATCACCATTGCCGTAGCTCGGTAGACCGTCGTGATAAATTGAATGTTCATCTTGTAAAAGGAAGTGGAGGGGATGGAGGAAGACTTACCATAGAGGATAGCATCACGCTTGCAACATGAGTATAAGACCCTATGCAACTCATCAGTTGCTGTTGTATCTCATCTTCATAGTGCAACACAGTATAGTGTGGATCAGACAGGACAGTTCTCGTCGTCGCCGAAGCTTGGACATATGCTTGTCATTGATAAAGTCGTATCATCATATCGAGGAAGGAGATAGGCGGCGAGCGTACCGATTGTAGTGAGGCAAGCACTGATGGATCTGGGTGGCAAGTTAGCAAAAGCTTCTACCAGTGAAGAGAAAGCAAATAGTATGCATTGAAGTGGGATCAGTTGACATGAATGGATATTTTGATTTAAGTCTTCACCGGGCGAACCCGTCGGACTCGTCATCAAGTGTTCATCATTTCCCGGAAGGTGAGCAAGAGGAGTGCGCTTACCATTGAGGATGTTACAGACTGTTGTTGGAGAACAGACTGATTGCGTTGTTAGCCGAAGCTCTACGACGCTTGTATGAATGTGCAGTGTTGGCGAGCGAGGTCAGTCGGCGAGGTTTCTGAGGCCTGCCATAATGAGCGTATCCGTCACGAATTGTCGGTGCCCAGTGCGGAATCATCATATGGTGTTCGAGGAGGGTTCGAGAGGGAGAAATCGTACCATTTGGGGCGCGGAATGATAGTATCTGCAACGCGCGAGATGTTAGCGAGAGCTACAAGCGATGTTGAGAAGAGCAGTGAGTTGAAGGTCAAAATCAGAAACAGCCATTGTTTATCGGCACCGGCAGAAGCCTTGGTCGGTAATTTCCAGCGTGCCGTAGCACAATCTGATCATCATTGGACGAGGGGAGGTGGAGGGGGGGTGTGCTTACCAGTGATATCGCAGAGCTGCGAAGCTACCTGTGGCAGTCATGAGCGCGAAAGCGCAATGCGCTCGAGTGTAAGTGCATGTCAAGAAATTCTGGAGCTGGTTAGCTTGATGCTCTCGTCGCAAAAGTCAA